CAGTGAATGAACTTTGTTAGGAAGTGTCTACTGACCCAAACAAAATACACCAATTGTTTTATAAATAAGCAATCCACAGTTGCAGCCTCCACTCCCTACTGCCTGTGCTCCACTTCTGGACCCTTGAAGCCTGGTTTCTAATCCCATTACTCCAATAAATCTGATCTCTCAACTGCTGGGTTCCATCTGGTCCATCTTCCTTGACCTTCTTGCAGTATTCAATATGGCTTCTGTCCTAAATAACCTCTGGCTTCCATAACACTGCTCTCTCCTGGTTCTTTCTATCCCTTCCTGCCTCCTCAGTCTTTTTTCCCTGAGTGACTTAGGAAGGGCTTCACCATCCTTCTACTTTCTGACCTTGAATGTGACCCTTGGGATAGTCTTCCTGGGCCCCCTTCTCTTTCTTCCTCTTGGTAACCTTAGCAGCTCCCATGAGTCCAGGGATCACCTCCATGCAGATGACTTCCACGTCTATGTATCAAGCACTAACCCTTCCCCTGAGTTCTAGTCTCACACCTCCAACTGCCCAGTGGAGATCTCCACCTCAAACCAAACACATCCAAAAGTGAACTCTCCTCTAAACCAACTCTTCCTCCCAACTTCCCTGCTTCTATTGGCGATAGCACTTTCTATCAGGTGACAGTGATGGATCCCTACTCACAATTTCCTAGAGCACCTGTCTAGATCTCTTCTTTGCCCTTTATCACACCTTCCTTACATAACAGAACCTGTGAACACGTCATTGCTAGAAGCTAATTAGAGAAAGCTCTTCACCATTTAATGAAGAGTTAGCTGGGCTTGTCTGTATTGCCCAGAGGGTTAACCTGAGCAGTTTTGAAGTTCTCTGGCTTTAGAGACAATAAGGCAAAGGTTTCATTGTATCATCTTTGTATCCTCAGCACCAAACTCTGAGTCCATAGCAGATATTTAAAAAATTTGCCAAAATGAATTATATTATAAAAGCCCACGTCCCAACTGCCAACTTCTCCCTGAAGCCCCCAGCTGGAAGCAATTTCTCCCTCCTTGAATCTCCAAAATCATTCTATTTAAACCTCTCTTAAACAGAGAGAGGCAGTGTGGTACATTGGATAGGAAGCTGATACAGGAACCAGAAAGATCAATTGGCTATGTGATCCTGGACAATTCATTTACCCCTTTAGTCCCAAATGGCATAGTAGATAGAGCAATGGACTTGTAGTTTAGAGGACCCAAGTTCAAATGCTGCCTCTAAAACTTACTAGCTATGTGACCCTGGACAAATCTCTCTCATCCCCTGTTTCCTCATCTAAAATATGGACTACGATAATAGCACCTGCCTCACAGGATTGTAGAGAAGATCAAAGGAGATAACAGGAAAATTGTTTTGTAAACCTTATAGCATTTTTTTAACCTTATAGCATTTTATAAATGCTAACTAGTGGTAGTAGTAGTAGCAGTGGTAGTAGTAGTATTTGTAGTAATAGTAGTAGTAGTAGTGGTAGTAGTGGTGATAGCAGTAGTGGTAGTAGTGGTGGTAGTAGTAGTGGTAGTAGTGGTGGTAGTAGCAGTGGTAGTAGTAGTAGTAGTAGTAGTAGTAGTAGTAGTAGTAGTAGCAGAAAAGATAGATATCTGCATTGGTAGAGGGAGTTTCCTCATCTGGGAATTTCCTAAATCAACAAAATCACCAGTCTCTAACCTTGTCATGTCTTATTATAACTTGTTATGTATATATGTGTCATAGTACCCTATGGGTGGCACAGTAGATTTGGAATCAGAAAGACCTGAATTCAAATCCAGCCTCAGATACTAACTGGGTATGTGACTCTGGGCAAGTCACTTAACATCAGCCTCAGTTTCCCCATCTGTAAAATGGGCATAATAAAAGCACCTTCCTGCCAGGGTTATTGTGAAAATAAAATGAGATACCATATGTAAAGTGCTTTGTAAACCTTAAAGCACCACATAAATGCCAGCTGCTATTAATTAGTACTATTGAAATTCCTTGAGGACAGAGACTTTTTATCTTTTATCTTTCTATCCCTGCCCCCCCAACTCCTCCCTTCTAGCACCTCTCTTCTAGCAAATGTTTGGTAGATTGTTGTCCTTCCTTCTGAGGACCAAAATGACATCACTATGTTGGAGTCTATGTTTATTAAAAGAATGAATAATTACTTCCTTTGATATTCTTAGATAATCATTTCTCTCACTGGTTAACGAATAACCTTTTCAGTATTAAAGACAGGGACTGGACCTATGATTTCATTGGTGTGGAAATTCACTGGATAAAGGAATTCCCTCTACCCATGCAAATCATCATCTTTTCTGCAACTTATAATCTTAGAAGCTGTCAAAAGCAGTGAGAGGTTCAGCAATCTGTCCAGGGTCACTTAGCCAGTAGGTGTCAGAGGTGAGACTTCGACCAGATCTCCCAGGCTCTAAGATAACTGAAGAAGTAAGTTATTGTCCTAGGCAAGACTGGAGTCCGGAGGACCAGAGTTCAAATCTGGCCTCAGATACTTACTAGCTGTGTGATTCTGGGCAAGTCACTTAAACCCTATTTGCCTCAGTTTCCTCATCTGTAAAATGAGCTAGAGAAGGAAATAGCAAACTATTCTAAGTATCTTTGCCAAGAAAACCGCAAACAAGGTCATAAAGAATCTGAAAGGACTGAAATGAGTGAACCAAGTCTTACATTTTGGATCATTGACTCATAAACCAAACACACACACACACACACACACACACACACATGCAGGAAAGATCAAGAGGATAAGGATAATCCTCAGTTTTCAGATGAGAAACTGAGACCCAGTGAGGGAGAGTCTTAAATCTGTTGAGTTTTCCTGCATATCATTTACTCTAAGACCTTTAAATGCTTTTTTTTTTTTAACTGATGTAATCTCTTTCCTACACCCCTGGAAAGCAGACAAAAGGAAGGGAGTGTTCACCATGGCAGCCTCCATGTTGGTCACCCCATGTCTGTTCTCTCCCAGCTCCAATCCAGACTTTTACTACCTAGCTCCCACCTAGCTTTTCAGTCTTATTTCATATTATTCTTTTAGTGAGGGTGGGCTGCCAACTGTTCCCTTAGTCATTTCCCACCTCCATGTGTTTGCATAAATGCTTCACCAGGTATAGAATTCCAGTAGGATTTAAAGCTCCCTCAGAACAAGAATCATTTCACCTTTACCTTTGTATCTCCAATGCCTATCGCAATACTTGGCATATGGTAGGTGCATAATAAATGCTTGTTGCATTAAATTGGCATTTAATCCAATCCCTCTTCAGTTGTGCCTGGTAGAATCCTGGCTCATGATCCTGACTCCTACTCAAGGCTTTCTCTGGACCACTTCCATCCTCCAGCTATTAGCACTCTCCAATTGCTGAATTCACTGGGTATTAGCATCACAAGACCATAGATCTGGATCTAAAAGGAACTTCAGAGCTGGCCCAACCACCATGTTTTTAGTCCAATGGCTTGCCCCAGATCACAAGTAGTAAACATGAGGGTCAAATCTGAACACAGGTCCCCTGACTGCAGTCAATATTCTTTCCCCTTCTTCATTTCTTCCTCCTTTATAGATAATCTACATTCATTTACTCATGACCCAGTTGTATTCCCCAATAGAATGTAAGCTCCCTGAGGGCAAGGACTGCTCAGTTTCCATTTTTGTATCCCCAGGGCCAAGCACAGTGCCAGACCCAGAGTAGCCACTTAATAAATATGTGCTGAATCAAATTAAACTAATTATACTGCCACCAGAAGAATCTTTCTCAAGCAGAACTCTGATAGGATAATTCAATCACTTCCTACTGCCTGCTGAGCAAACCGTAAAAATTTCAACCTGAAATTCAAGGTCCACTGTGAATGGGCCCCAACTGACCCTTCCAGATTTATGTCCCATGACTCCTTGTCACATACACTATACTCCTCCCCCAGAAGACTAGCCACAATTTCCCAAGCTCTTGGCTCCCTCTGTACCTCTTTGGAGGCCAGCCTAGAATGTCTCCAATCTACTTTTCTACTTGTCAAAATCCTATCCTATCTTCGAAGCCCAGGCCAAGTATTACGACATCCATGAATTTTCCCTGATTTTCCCAAATCAGAAGTACCTCTGAATTCCCATAAACTGGTAATTCCTTTATGCGGTAGTTACAGTAGGTATCTCTGTCCCCTCTTATTTCTCTGTGAACTCTTTGAAGACAGTGATCAAATCCTGCCTCAGTTTCCTCTTCTGCATAAGGAAGGAGCTAGCTAAGATGAACCCTATAGCCCCTTCCACCTCTGGCATTCTATGATCTGAGGTCCTTCCCAATTCTAAGGTTCCTTTCTAGCTCTGACATTCTTTTTTTCTGAGGACTGACCATCCTGACATTCTAAGGTCCCAAGTTCCCTGCTGGCTCTGACAATCTACAAATTTAGACATTGTGGCATACTTGGAGGAGTGGCCAACTTGAAATCTGTTCTTAGTTGAAATCGTGACCTACAGGCCAGTCCCTGTATCTCTCTCTTAGGTTCCATATCTCTAAAATGGGGGTAATCATGTTCAGACTGCCTGTATCCTGGGGTTGTTGGGAGGAAAGTACTTTATAGGCCCTAGCACATTACAGTAATGCCCCTTAGGCATAGCAGTAGTGATGGTGACAGTATCTATGAATCCAGGTATTTTTCCTATCACTGATCACATGATAGGTACTAAATAAATGGTTGAATTAGATCTGCTCTAGGGAAACTGAGGCACAGTAGAGGAGCCACTGAGTATCAAGTGTGAGATGGCCTTCACACAGTTCACACAAGTCCATGGCAGAGATAGGATTTAAACTCAGGAGTCTTTAATTGCCGGCAAAGACCCTCAGACCCAGTGGCCCATACTCTCATCCATACTGACTTTTCAATTCTGTACTCCAGAGATGGGTATGACAGCCCCTCAGGACCCAAACAGGCCCCCCCTCCCTTCTAATACAAAACGGGAAACACAATCAGAAAAAAAAATAATAATAAAGTCTGGTGGTTACAGTACCTACTGCAGGCTGAGGAGACGGATCTGAGGAAGCCATCTGCCTGCAACTATGCTCAGCTCACCACCTTCTCCTATTGGAAGAAAGAGAGGAAATGCAATCAGAGGGGAAGGGGAAAAGAAGTCATGGAGAAGCCTGGAGAGGCTTCATTGGCATCCCAAGGTTGGGCGATCAGAACACACAGACACACACAGACACAGACACACAGACACAGACACAGACACACACACACCCCCTATCTCCCATACAGCCTTCACCTCTGCCAGCTTAGCAGCTGCCCCACTGGCTGTAGGAGGCACTTCCAAGCCAATAAAGAGCCTGATCACCTCTTTTTGCAAATCATTAACCCAAAGATAAACCACAGGTGGATCGTGTAGCGTTGGCTACTGTCCCACCCTCTTCCAGCCCCCACTGCAGATCTCGCCACTGCCCAAGCAGACCAGGCAGCTTTCAAATACCATGAACCCTCAAAGACTCCTGCTTGCTCCAATCTGGAGTGGACATTCCAGCTACCACTCAGATCCCAACATCAGCAGTAAGTTAAGCCTGGTCCTAGAACGAAGAAGGAACATAAGAAGAAAAGGTGGCCAGCTACCTTCTGGGAACTGGCAGGATATTTCCTCTTTCTGGCCAAACATTAACCATCCTTTCCCTCTCTAATTGGCTCAACATCTCATCTACTAGCGGATTGGAGGCCTCACCCTCTTTGGCCCTCCATGTCCCCATTTGAGAGAATAAGTGGAATGGTGTACTGGGGAGAGGGCTTCATTGGTCACCAGGAATTTCCAGGCTCAAATCTTAGCTCTGACTGAGGCTCCCTTAGAGCAAGGAAAACCTGAATTCAAACCCTCTCTGGTTACTGGTTGTTAGTAGCTTCACGACCTAGGAAATTCCTTAACTTCTATGTGCCTCAGTTTCCACATCTATGACATGAGGAAGATATGCCTATAGCACCTATTTGAAAGGTTTGTTGTGAACCCAGATGAGATCTTGCAAGTGCTCTGAAATTCTTAAAAATACCATCTACTGGTCAGCTGTTACCATTTTTTTATCTGACTAATTGCATTCATTTAATTGGCTCTGACAAGGAAACTCCTTCTACCTAGGCAAATCTATTCTATGACTTTAAGCCTTTGGGCATTCTCTGGAGTAGGCAAGAAGGGCCTGGGTCAATGACTCCATTTTATAGACAGAGAGAAGCTACCTGACACACAGCTAACGTCCAAGGCAAAATTCAAACTTGGGTCTTCCTAACTCCAAATCAGGTATCTCTTCCACATCACGACTTTCCCCACAGCGGTTTCAATATATCCATGGGTCAGCATAAGAAATTAAATGGGAATTTTGCAGAAGCCAAAGACAACACAGAGCTTATGACCAAATACTTAACCTAAATTTACAATAAATATCCCATAAAAGAAAAAGTAAAAATTCAGACTTCTTGTTTGGCATGAAGGGAGGACCAGAAAAATTTACTGCGCACTGCACCCCTAACCTCCATGATGTGGAAGGTGTACCACCTGCCTGCCTCAATGTTGTTCTTTAAAGGGGGGAGTGAGAGTTATGACTTATTCCTTACCTAAAGAAAATAAAGCTTGAAAAAAGAGGAAGGAGGAAGGCAAAGAGAAGGAAAGAAAGGGGCAGGGAGAAAGTGTGATATAGATAGGAGCCCTTGTTTTCATCACTGGCCATATTCAAGGCAAGCAACGCAAGTCTTTGGACAAAAGGGCCCCAGATGGCAGGTGTTCCTCACTTCCAGGGTCGGGATCACAGAGACTTTTCGGGCTTTCCTCTCCCTGGGGCCAGAGACTCAGAGACAACAAGCCCAAAGCAGAGTCTGCTAACGGGACCAGATGGCCTCCCCTCTAGGGTTAATCAATCAACATCACAAAGATCCAGGTCTTGGATAATTAATGGACCCCACACTAATCCATTAAGAGCCACCACCCCCAACACACAGCCCAGGATTTGTGTCTCTTCGCTACCCTTCATTTATAACAACCTAGCCCCATTTGACCCCAGGATCCCCCAGCTCTGAGACTCAGGTCTTGGCTTTTAAGGAAGGATTCTATATAAAGGGTAATACGATGAAAGTATCATGAGCACCAGAATTAGAAGTTGAAAAGCCCTGGCTTCTCACCTCAGCTCTGCTCCAAATTCACTGTGTGACTTATGAAATTCACTGTCTCTCTCTGGGCCTCAGTTTCCTCTGCTATAAAATGGGAGCTTTGCCCCATATCCACTGATTTGATGATTCTTTTTAGTTCTACAGACACATTATCCAGCCTCATCCATCTCCTTCTTTCCCTTGACATTGGCAACCATGGTAGCTGAGACCTTCATTACTCTCTCACCTGCACTACAGCATTAGCCTTCTCACTGGTCCCCCATCTCCAGGCTCACTCCTCCCCTTCCCCAAGTCATTCTCCACCCAGATGGCAAAATGCCATTCCTAAAACACAGATCTGGTCCCTTCCCTGCTCAAGTTTCACGGGTTCCCCATTCCCCCTAGGGTAAAATCCAAGATCCTCTGCTTAGCATCTAAATTCCTTCACCTCCTGGCTCCAATCTACCCCATTAGGCTGATCTCACTTTACTCTCCTCCACATACATACTCTGCATTCAGGCCCAACTGGTCTGCCAGCTAATTCCCTGTATGTGACCTGAACAAACTGTCCTCCATGCCTGCAATGCTGTCCCTCCTCATCTCCATCTCTTTGGACCAGGAACACAGCCTGTCAAGGCTCAGCTCAGGCGCAACCTTCCTCATGAGAGCTTTCCTAATCATCATATCCCCAGCACCTAGCCCAGGGCCTGGCAATCAAGGAACCTGTCCACCGGCATTTATAAAGAGCCTACTATGTGTCTGACCAGGACTGTGCAAGCCACTGGGAATTCAAAAACAAAAATGAGAAGACATTTAATAAATAATCATTGAAGGAAAAATAAAAGGGAGGGGTAGGAAGAGATGGCCCAGACAATCTCTAAAGATCCTTCCAGCTCTGGCAGTCATGAAGTAGTAAAGTCACACTTTCTCAGAATCTCAGACCGGGAAAAAACTCCGGGGTCAGCTCCTTCAGACCCGGCACCTGACCAAACATCCCCAGCCAAAGGTCAGTCACCTTCCTCAGAAGCCCTGGGAAGGGGTGGGGGAGGGGTGCATCCTCCAGACAGAACCTCCCCAACTTTCTTTGTCAGGTATCCTCCAGCTCTTTACGCCCCCCTCCCCAAATGATTTTGAATTCACTTTGTACAAATTTCATATTTATTTGTGTACATTTACTAGAAATAGACTATAAGCTCCTTGAGGGCAAGGATTGTTTTGGTTTTTTGTCTTTGTACTTCCAGTGCTGAGAATAGTGCCTGGAACATAGTAGACATTTAATAAATGCTTGAATAAATGAATGAATGAATGAATGGTAAATACTCACCCCTCCTCTAAAACCCAACTAAAATGCTGCCGCCCCTAGGGAGCCTTTTCTATCTCAGACTTCCAAGGGCACTTCATTTTCGCCCTTCTAATATACTTAGTTTTCATTATTATGTATTACAGTTGTCTGTGTTTCTGCCCAATTCCCTTTCTAGCCTGTAAGCCCTAGGAAGAGAGGAGCTATATCTCATCCCAGCTTTGTAATCTCCCTCAATGACACACATACAACTCCTTTCACAAGGCCTCTAGCAAAATAAATGTTTATTAAATGAAATAAAATCGCATTAAATGAAATGAGCTGTTGTCTGCCATCCAAGAGTCTCAGATCCTAACTGATGTGCCTGGCAGGCCTTACCAATATGTCTATCTGTGACTATGTGTGGGCCTCAACTTCCTTCTCTATATAAAATAGGGGGTGGGGGGGGACCTAGATCACCTCTGAGGTGCCTTTTACAGCTTAGTCTACCAGCGTCCCCTAAAGCCTGCTTCTGGGGCCAAGGGCAGGAGCAGAGGTAGAAGAAGCAGGCGACCTAAGGATGGAAATGGAACAGAAAGGCTGAAAGGAGGGAGAGCAGTCAGAGCTGAGGGGCATCCACGGGCACAGCCAGGAAGAGAAGAGAAAATGGGCCCCCAAAAAGAAATGAGGCCATTGCAAGAGGGATAGGCAGCGAGCAGCCCCCTGCTACTCCAGGAGAATAAGTAACATCTTCCAGGGTTTCCAGATCTAGTTTCAGTTCCTTATCCCTGGCTTCCCAGGCCTCCTGGGCTCTGGCTGCTCTGAGAGAGAATTCAAGGCCTCGGCCTCCCCAGAACCCCAAGTTTCATTGAGGAACCATAGAAAAGGAGGAGATGATGCCTAGGGAACTTCCCCTATTAAGTCTAACTCACTGTTGGACTGTTAATAAATGTTGATTGATCGATCAATTGATTGGAGGAAATGCTGCCCAGGCAGGACCCTGCGACATCCAGCTAGGGCCCAGGACTCCAGCCCAGGGGTAGCAACAGTTTCCTGTGGGATGAGCATAGTTCCCAAGGGCCACTCGTGGGAGAACCAGTCCTTAGGACCGTGGGATTCACAACTGGAAGGGGCATTCGAGGTCATCCATCCAAACCCCTCATTTTTTTTGATTGGTTTTTCTGTTTGTTTATTTTCTTACAAACGAGAAAACTGAAACCCAGAGAAGATTGAGTCACGGTAGTAAGGAGCAGTGGCGGGACTCAGAACCAGGTCGTCTGACTTCAGCGTTACTGTTCTTTCAACAACACCCTGATACCTCTGCAAGAAGAGCTGAATATTTTGAGGAGGGGGAGGAACAGGGGAAGGAGGAGAAGGGAGAGGGGGAGAAGGAAGAGGAGGATCTCTCCCTGCTCTCACCACAGATCTGCCTCCAGAGTTACAAAAGACAGTAGGAAAGAGGAGTCTTCCAATCGAAGGAGGATGATAAGAGGCAATTCAATTCGACAAACACTTATTAAGTGCTTACTGTGTGCAAGGCACTGGCTAGCTTGGGTATCTTAATCTGTGGGATCTGTGAACTAGTCAGGGTTCTTAAGAATATATTTTGAAAAAATTGCACTTCAATACAATTGCATTTCAATCAATCAGAAATATCACTCTCCTCCCTTCCCCCCACCCCAACTCC